CTCCTCTTTCTCTGCTTCGATCTCTCAGGCAAAAAGCACTTTCTTTCAAGATAAGATCCAATCTTCCTATTCCAATCCCAAAAAACTATTTTCCATCTTCTCCTCCCTCCTGGACCCCCCCAAAGCCCCTTCCTCCTCCTCCTCCCTTCTGTCAAGCGACTTTGTTAACCACTTTGAAAAAAAGGTTGATGATATTCGCTCTTCTTTTTCTGACTCACCTTTACTCACCACTGGGTCACCAGACCCTCCTTTCACCCACACACTGACCTCCTTTTCCCCTCTCTCTCCAAGTGAGGTTCTTACCCTCATTACCTCTGCCCGCCCTACCACCTGTCCTCTGGACCCTATCCCTTCAAACCTCCTTCAGACTATCGCTCCTAATATTCTACCGTTTCTCACCCAGTTCATCAACACTTCTCTAACTTATGGTCACTTTCCAAACAGTCTCAAGGAGGCAAGAGTAAACCCTCTCCTAAAGAAACCCACTCTCAACCCGTCTGATGTTATAAACTACAGGCCTGTCTCTCTCCTCCCGTTCCTGTCTAAAACACTTGAACGCGCTGTCTTTAAACAACTCTCCTGTTATCTCTATCAGAACAACCTTCTGGATCCGCACCAGTCTGGTTTCAAGGCAGGTCACTCCACAGAAACTGCCCTCCTTGCTGTCACTGAGGAACTGCACACTGCTAAAGCAGCCTCCCTCTCCTCTGTCATCATCCTTTTGGACCTGTCTGCTGCATTCGACACGGTGAATCATCAGATCCTCCTTCGCACTCTCCAAGAACTTGGAGTTTCAGGCTCTGCCCTTTCCCTCATCACCTCATACCTCAAAGACCGCACCTACAGGGTTACTTGGAGAGGGTCGGAGTCCGACCCTTGTAAATTAACTACAGGGGTCCCTCAGGGCTCTGTTCTTGGTCCCCTCCTCTTCTCCTTGTACACAAACTCGCTCGGATCTGTCATTAGCCCGCATGGTTTTTCATACCACTGCTACGCTGACGACACCCAATTAATTATTTCCTTTCCCCGCTCAGAAACCCAGGTCGTCGCACGCATCTCTGCTTGTCTAGCTGACATCTCTCAGTGGATGTCTGCTCATCACCTCAAGCTCAACCTTGACAAGACTGAACTGCTTTTCCTTCCGGGAAAAGATTGTCCCACTCTTGACCTGACGATCAACATCGGCACCTCTGTTGTTTCCCCGACTCAGACTGCAAGGAATCTGGGTGTGATCCTAGATAACAACCTGTTCTTCACTGCAAACATAGCTGCTACAACCCGCTGCTGCAGATACACGCTTTACAACATCAGGAAGATACGTCCCCAGCTGACCCAGAAAGCGACGCAGGTTCTGGTCCAGGTTCTGGTCATCTCACGCCTAGACTACTGCAACTCCCTCCTGGCTGGTCTACCTGCATGTGCCATCCGACCTCTGCAGCTCATCCAGAATGCAGCGGCTCGTCTGGTCTTCAACCTTCCTAAATTCTCCCACACCACGCCGCTCCTCCGCTCCCTCCACTGGCTTCCGGTAACTGCTAGAATCCACTTCAAGACAATGGTACTTGCGTACCATGCTGCGAATGGATCTGGCCCTTCCTACATCCAGGACATGGTTAAACCGTACACCCCAGCACGTGCACTCCGCTCTGCATCAACCAAACAGCTCGCTGCACCCTCGCTGCGAAGGGGACCCAAGTTCCACACACACACACACACACAAAAACAAAAACAACCAATCACAGCAGTGCTTCTCTGGCTGGCTCTGTCCAATCATAAACAAGAAGTGTTCTCCCTAAAGGAATACCCTTTCTGTCCAATGTGAAATGCTGTGGTGTTTTCTGAAATGCTGCGGCGTTTTCTGAAATGCTGTTGTGTTTTGTGAAATACTGTGGCGTTTTGTGAAATGCTGTGGCGTTTTGTGAAATGCTGTTGTGTTTTCATTTTAAGTCATACGCTAATATTAACCAATACACAGCTTCAATCATTACTTTACTTACCTTGACCACATAACAGCTGTATTGAAGGTTTGCTTTTTGATCAATAAACACAACAACAAAAAGCAAACTCCACTGGTATGGAACATACATGGCCTAATATCCAGAGGAGATGCGTTTATCGAGTAAACAAACGATCAAGGGCAGAACGTCTGCACAACCCACTGCACCGCACGCCACGGTTAAGGCTCCTCCAGACAGCCTCCGCGATAATCGATCGTCGACGAGCCTTTACAGAAATTTGTTTTCCTTCCAGGCGGCGAGCCCACATACGTTTCCCGGTCGCTGCCGGAAGACCTGGGAGTCCGGGACCCGAACGTTTGAGAAATTACGAACGGCTCATTTCGGAGGACACGCGCGCGTCTGCTTGACGCCGGGACGACCGGCGACCCTCCCCTACAGGCGTCCCTCGTTCTTATTAAACATCCATGTTGTAGTCCTCTGTATAGAAAACTGTAGTTTCCATAGTTTCCCCACAGCAGCAGACGCACACAATGACGTCCGCTGGCGCATCATAAACACGTTGGATAGTGAAAGTGCATTCGGATTCTCTAAAGTACCGCAGTCTCTTCTCCTAACCCCCAAAACACACCAGGAGCGTCTGCGCCGCGTTACGTTGCGGCTGCGCCACGCTGCGACCTCCTCCTGCGTCAACACACACCAGACGCGTTTCAAAACGTTGCGGAAGCGGAGCGTCGTGTGTGCAGCCTCGCAGTTGTTGTTGATTTTGGAATATTTCCTGGACATTTGTACTTCTACAAGTAAGTAGGCTATACGTAGTTAAATGGTTTATGTTTGTGTCTGTTTAAATCGTGTTTATTGTTGTTATTTCCTATTTTGTTGTGTTGTAGACTACAGACACAGTTAATAATAATTGTAATATTCCAGTTATAAACGACATGAATCAAAGATGTGTTGCTGTATTTTAGTGGTAAAAAAATATGCATTCATCATCATAATTATTCTATATATATCATTTACAGTGCCTGTACACCGGAGGAGAACGCTGGCATGTATTCTCCTACTTGAAAGACTACGGGGGGATGGGGGGAGGAGTTTACCTTACGGCTGCGCCGCGGCAAAAATAGGATTCATCCTAATTTGAGAGAAGCGCTGCGCCGAGCCGCTTCTGGGACGTGTCTGTGCCGTAACGCGGCGTGTGTGGTGTAATAGCACCCATTGACTCGACTGGCCGCGATCCTTACGACCGCCGCGGCGCGGCCGTAACGCGACGCAGACGCTCCTGGTGTGTTTTGGGGGTAAGTCCTTTTGAATTATCCTATCCACTATCCCTTAACCCCGTGACGTTTCACTCAGAGGTCAAGGAATAGGAGATAGGGTTAGAATTTAGGAGCTAATTTTTGGATTATCGGAACGCAACCCTGCTGTGCCTCCTGTCATCATTAATGGACGTCTCTTTAAAATGACCGCTCAGAGGAGAGGAGTTCTCATTTCTCTAACCGCCTGCTGCTTCCCCTCCTCTTTCCTCGGTTCCCCTCCTCAGTCCTCCGCTCGCATCTCCTGTGGGCGGGACTAAGTATCGAGGATAGGAGTCGAGGAGGGGAAATTAGAGTATTGAGAAACCTCTACAGGCGACCGGCGGGACCTATGAAGCTCTGACGTGAGTCCAATGTCAACCCGCAATCTGATAGGTTTACTTCCATTGTGATCCACGGCGTGATTGGTTTAGATACAATCTCAAATTGGACGGCAAAGTATTCTGATTATATGAGGAAATTGAAGATTGGACAGCCGATCCTGCACCCGTGTCGAGCGCCCCTTATGCGAACATCAACTAAATGACCTCATAAAAACTAAAGTGCCGAATTATTATGAAACAAAAAATGTGCCCCGTGTGAGGCTCGAACTCACGACCTTCAGATTATGAGACTGACGCGCTGCCTACTGCGCCAACGAGGCCCTGAGATGGACAAAAATCAAGGTTGTATTTTCTAATTCTTCTTATTAAATAATGATTGTTATGATCTATTTTGAGGCGTACTCGTAGTACAGTATACATACAGTCGGCGTCGCGTCACAGTTGGGGGCGGGGCATTTCGAGGGGGAAAACAATCATTTCCCCCTCGCCCGGAGCACTGTAAGCGCGCGGATTTTAAATGTTAAACAAACATGTCATACATTGATTCATTGCAGCCCATTTCCAGGGATAGATACCTTAACATGTTGTATTTAATAGGATCGGATTCTTGTCCATATCTTATTAAAGAGTGGACGAATGATCCGACTGAATGGCCTGAAGTTTCATTCCCTGATATCTTCTGCTACCTGGTTGAATCACCCGGTAAGAGGCCAAATCACGTTAACTGATGAATTAAACCTCACATAATGTATATGTCTAACAAGGAAATTAGCACGTTTTAGTGAATTTGTTCATCACACAATGGTTGTTATTGCACAATAGCCATCATGAGCTGCATATACATATTGGTTATTGACGACTCGGTACGTTATCACGCAGGGATTTACACACACACGCCTAAAGAACTATCGGTCCCTGGAGGCACACAACTGTTTTACAAGTGGCTTTGTTGGAGTTGTGCTCCATCATAAACTACCTTCATCGGATACCTACCTGTTTCGATGTGATGTAAAGCCATCCTGGAGGGTGACAGAGAAGCCGCAAAGGCTGGCTTCCGCATCTGCCAAACTATGCCATACCTGGGGGTTTCATGTGACTGCTGTGGTGAGGGTGTTATAGAGGCTAAGTGTCCTTACAGGTGGGGGCAAGACACCTCTACTGGGTACCAACAGTGGCTTGAGGACAAAAGAGGACATCTGGAAAGTCTGACAAGCTTAAAGAGAAGTCATGCATATTTCACTCAGGTATTTCAATATTTCACCTGCATATACCTGCACACCTCTAATAAGTCCGGAGCATTTTGTGCAATTATCCAAGATAATTATCCACAGATGGCATACTGTCTATAATGTACATATTAGTGTTATGATGATTGCATTGCATTTGATTGCATTTGACAAGTCCAAATGCAGATGTTTGTTACCAAACGGATGTATGCAGACTTCATCACTTGGACTCCTCAGACCTGCCTGATATTCAGAGTACAAAGAGATGAGGACTTCATCAGTGGTGCCATTAATGTGATGCAAACATTTTGGTCACAACACATACTACACAAACTTCGGGAGCTGAAAGATGCACAGGTAGGTGGTTGAATTTCCTATCAGTGTAAAAATGGCAACAAATAAGTCACTGTGACAGAGTTACATATTTATTTATACCAATTCATTTTGAAGCATATTATAGCTATTTTATTTAGTATCAACATAGACTACTAGACTATATGTACAAAATCAAATATCACAAAGCCTATACATTTATTTACAACATGAAAACATACATAGGCTACAAATAGAATGAATAATGGGCTGTACAATATTGTCTATACTTGTGACTTTGATACTAATCAGATAATAATTGTTGATATTGTTGATCAAATTGTTCTTGTGTTATTTTCAAAGGGGGTGTACTCATTTATGATAAGCACTGTATATGTTTCTGCTAAGTAGGCAGAACACAGTCCAGTCGAAAGCAGCACAGGGAATGACCCATCAGGCAACACAAGTGGCAGCAGAACATCAGGCAACAGAAGCAGAGTGTCAGGCATCAGAGGCAGAGCGTCAGACATCAGAGGCAGAGCGTCAGGCATCAGAGGCAGAGCGTCAGGCATCAGAGGCATAGCGTCAGGCATCAGAGGCAGGGCGTCAGGCATCAGAGGCAGAGCGTCAGGCATCAGAGGCAGAGCGTCAGGCATCAGAGGCAGGGCGACAGGCATCAGAGGCAGGGCGACAGGCATCAGAGGCAGAGCGTCAGGCATCAGAGGCAGAGCGTCAGGCATCAGAGGCAGGGCGACAGGCATCAGAGGCAGAGCGTCAGGCATCAGAGGCATAGCGTCAGGCATCAGAGGCAGGGCGACAGGCATCAGAGGCAGAGCGTCAGGCATCAGAGGCAGAGCGTCAGGCATCAGAGGCAGGGCGACAGGCATCAGAGGCAGGGCGTCAGGCATCAGAGGCAGAGCGTCAGGCATCAGAGGCAGGGCGTCAGGCATCAGAGGCAGGGCGACAGGCATCAGAGGCAGGGCGTCAGGCATCAGAGGCAGAGCGTCAGGCATCAGAGGCAGAGCGTCAGGCATCAGAGGCAGGGCGACAGGCATCAGAGGCAGAGCGTCAGGCATCAGAGGCAGAGCGTCAGGCATCAGAGGCAGGGCGTCAGGCATCAGAGGCAGAGCGTCAGGCATCAGAGGCAGAGCGTCAGGCATCAGAGGCAGAGCGTCAGGCATCAGAGGCAGGGCGACAGGCATCAGAGGCAGGGCGTCAGGCATCAGAGGCAGAGCGTCAGGCATCAGAGGCAGAGCGTCAGGCATCAGAGGCAGGGCGACAGGCATCAGAGGCAGGGCGTCAGGCATCAGAGGCAGAGCGTCAGGCATCAGAGGCAGAGCGTCAGGCATCAGAGGCAGGGCGTCAGGCATCAGAGGCAGAGCGTCAGGCATCAGAGGCAGAGCGTCAGGCATCAGAGGCAGAGCGTCAGGCATCAGAGGCAGAGCGTCAGGCATCAGAGGCAGAGCGTCAGGCATCAGAGGCATAGCGTCAGGCATCAGAGGCAGGGCGTCAGGCATCAGAGGCAGAGCGTCAGGCATCAGAGGCAGAGCGTCAGGCATCAGAGGCAGGGTGACAGGGTGTGCAGCAGCAGAGCAGCACTGAGATCAGTTCAGGGACCTGTGGAAAGACAAACAACAGGTGGTTTTGATTAGAAAGATCCATTATGTCTCAACTGAAACCTGTTAAATGGCACAATTGGAACAATAATGACTTCTTTGTTGTATAAAAAAGTTGCATAAAATATTGTTCTCTGATGCTCATTATTAAATGACTGCACATTGATTTTGTTCTGACTCTCAGATTCTGTAACGGTTGTACATGACACTGCCAGACAGGTTCATTAGTGCTGCACAGACATGCACAATCCTATCCATCATGGCCTCTTCTCTCTTCTGTCTCTCACCCTGCAGTCTCTTCACCAGGCGCAGAGGAAGTGGGCCATCCAGAATGTGGTACCGGCTCTTCAGGGCCCCAATGACTCTCTCTGCAGACCACAGATCGCAACATCTTCGGCTGACAATTGTTTTCGGCCCCTCGTGAAAGACGGTGTGATGAGCTGTGCACCCAGAACAGCAAAGTCATCCTTCAAAGTGAAGCCCCTGTCGGCTAAAATCTGAAATAAACATCACAAATACTTAAAAACACTACTTTACTTCAACAGCAACTCAAAAATGGTAACTATGGGTAAATAATAAATTCACAAATAAGACCTAAATTAGAAACAAAAAAACAGTTAAATTGTTACCTGATCTCCTGCATGGTGGAACTTCTGAGATAAGAAGTCTGAGTTCCTTACAATATGCACATCTGAAGCCCTCCCTGCCCAGCCTTTGGAGAGATATGTGATTGAGCCAGATGGGTGACATGCAATGAAATACTTCACTGTTGTCCAGTTTTTGTATTTTGAGTAGGTGATAGCTCTGTGAGAAGAGACAGTCGTTAGTAATACTTATCTATAAATTGTGTACATATACACAGACAGCCAGGTAAGTATTACAAAAACCTGACACTTTATGCATGCTATCAAAAAGAAAAATATCTCACCTTGTTTTCAGCTAATTTGAGTGTTCAATTCTGATCTCAAAGCAGTCGATAATTGCAGTCACTCTAGGGTACTGGAAGAGAACCTCTGCTGGTACTGTGCTTCTGATACACTCTCCATCAGGCCATTTAATCAAAAAAGAAATGTTGGCGTACATCAAATCCAACCATCGGGAGAATACATCCAGGAAAGTGCTATGTGCCAGGTCAAATATTCCACACATCATATCGGTTGAGGGGTTCTGCCGCAGTTTCACCAGAGTAATAAAGAGCTGGTCTTGTGTTGACATCTTGGATGTTTTCTGTGACTTAACAAACTGTACCAGGTACTGATGAAGAGTGTCAAATACTGTCCATGACAGGCCTGTCATGACTTTACATTTAGTGTCATTTTCTCTCTGTTTACCGACATTTTCAACGTCTCCAATTCTCTGATGGCTTCAGCTCGCTCCTTCATGGCCTCATCTCTTTCTCTTCTTAAATTATACAATTCTTCATAAAGTTGTTTTCTCTCTAACTCCTGAAGAGGTATGGGAGCTTCTGATGTTGGGGATTCTGGTGCCGGGCCCTCTGATGTTGGGGATTCTGGTTGGGCAGACTGAACACCCTCACGCTTCCTCCTTCTCTCCAGCCTCTGAAGTACTGACCTGGGACACTTTGTCTTTTTATGTGGGAACAGCGAGGGTGTGTAGTCTGGGTGGGCTATGTCCTCGTTTTTTAAGCCTAGGGCAAGACAGTTCACAAACGAAATGAGAAGGGGATAGAAGGGGGTGAAATACATTTGAACTGCAGAAAGCTCGGAAGCTACCACCAGTGTTGTTAGCATAGCTGTGTTTTTGTATACTCAAGCAAGGTAGCCTGCATAACGTAGTAGTTAGTTAACTTCTCTTAAAACTAGTAATTGAACATTCATGTTAACTACGAAACAATTTAACACTGTTATTGTGTGAATAACGTTGTCATACCTGTAATGAAGTGCTGACTACAGACGTACACATGTTTGGATTTTGGATCCCACAGGTGGCCAAACTCATCCTCCCGACGGATCGCTTGAAGCCACCGGGTTCTTCTCCTGGGCTCTGTGCTCCCGTTGGGCAAAATATAAAATTTTAGATTTGGATTTTTAAGCTTGTTAGTTGTACAAAAGGGCACACTGCAGCTCCTGGGCATTGTGGAAGCCGGTTTGTTTTCCCCCTCGGCGCGAACCGGATGTGACGTTTTGTGGGCGTTCCCTCGCTTGCCGACTGTATCTATACGGGATAAACAGGTGTCAAATCGGGGTGTCCTGTGGGACACCCCGATTTCTACTTGTGAAAAGCTTGTCTATCAAATCGAGAGGTATTACTCCGCTCTGCTCCACTCTAATTTCAAAATAATTGACGGTGAAGTTTTAGACACACTGATTTAGTAATATAATTGGTATTATATATGACTGTTATGTGCCAATCAGTACACCGCTAACATGTTTTCTTTGACACCAAGTACAAGTACACTCTCGATTCTGTTGTTTTCCCGAAGCGTCCTGAATGCATCTTGGTACTTGCTGCGGCCCCTTTAAATCCAATCTCCCGCGTTCTAAGTTAAGCGGAAATAGGGAGCCGTCTTTCCTCTATTTAAGCGCGCCAACAAAGACCCTCAGAGAAGGCAAATCTGTTATCGTCCACCACACCGTACGTTTTGTTTCACTCCACCGTGCATCCTACCGTCCTGAAAAAATGCCAGAGGAAATGTCCGCCGCGTCAAGCTACGGGAGGTAAGACTCGTTTCATTTCCTCACTACCGTATGCTGGGAAAACACAGCTAGGTAGCTTTTAGCTTGATAACACGGTTAACGTTAACATCCTTGCGTTGTTGCATGACATCTTGGGTTGCTTACTAACACTCAGTGGCTGGTTAAATGTATTTAGAGGTGGCATAAAGTGCGGCTAACAAGCATCACTTTCACCCTTGTGTTAGGCTAGTAGGCTAACACGCATACTGTGCTAACAACAATAAAGCTCAGCTAACATGTCAAGACTTAGCTGAAATTAAGAGTCAACAGTAATGTTTAGGTGTGTCTACTGTAGTTATACTTCAGAATAAGGGTAGTTGGCTTGCATTTGCATTAACTTAACTCAAGTGTGAACTTATTTGACTCCTGCAGTGCGGAGGAGAAGCCGTGCTCCTCCTCCTCAGCCGCAGCTGCAGCAGACAGGTGAGTGTCCCCACGGAAACCCCCGCCGATCTCTAAGCATTACTATTCAACGTTGAACTACTTTAGATACACGTATTTTTGTTTCCTCCCTGTAGCTCTGTGGACGTTGCCGAGGAGGCAAAAAAGCTGATAGGCACCGGGAACAGGCATCTAGTGATGGGAGATGTTGTGTCTGCTGTCAGTGTCTTCCAGGACGCCTGCAGCATGCTGTGAGTGCATTGCGAGGCAATGTGACTGACTCAACATGGCACACTTTCAAAACACTGTTTACAACTTTATTTAAAAACAAAATAGGTAGTAGTATTCCCTCTTACTATTTTTCTTTTCTGGTGATCTACATATATTAAAGGTAGGGTAGGTCATTCAAGGCAAGACAAGTTTATTTATATAGCACTTTTCAACACAAGGCAATTCAAAGTGCTTTACAAAAAATGAAAGACATTAAGAAAATGGCATTTAAAAGAAGTCATTAAAAAGAAAAGCTAATAAAATAAACATTAAAAGAAAAAATACATGGATAAAAGTTACAGTGCAGTCTAAGATATGAATAGTTCAATTAAAAGCAGCGACAAAAAGAAAAGTCTTCAGCCTGGATTTAAAAGTAGTCAGAGTTGCAGCGGACCTGCAGGTTTCTGGGAGTTTGTTCCAGATATTTGGAGCATAATAACTGAACGTTGCTTTACCGTGTTTAGTTCTGACTCTGTGGACAGAAAGCTGACCAGTCCCTGAAGACCTGAGAGATCTGGATGGTTCATAATTTAGCAGGAGGTCAGAAATGTATTTTGGGCCTAAACCATTCAGTGCTTTATAAACCAGTAGCAGTATTTTGAAATCTATTCTTTGACACACAGGAAGCCAGTGTAAAGACTTCAGAACAGGAGTGATGTGATCCACTTTCTTAGTGTTAGTGAGGACTCGAGCAGCGGCGTTCTGAATCAGCTGCAGCTTCCTAATAGATTTTTTAGTGAGACCTGTGAAGACACCATTACAGTAGTCCAGTCTACTGAAGATAAAAGCATGGACAAGTTTTTCCAAATCCTGCTGTGACATTAGTCTTTTAATCCTAGATATATTCTTTAGGTGATAGTAGGCTGATTTAGTAACTGTTTTAATGTGATTCAGTTCAGAAACACTTTTTGTTATATTCCATGGAATGCTCTTAACATCCCGATGGCAATGAATATATTAAATGCTTTGACAATAAATATATACAAATATTTCATCTGTGGAAGCCGTGGCGCTGATAAAAGCAAAACCAATGATCTGCCTCAGCCCTCGAGGCCATACATATTATGTAATACAAATATTTTTTCTTACATAACAACCAGCTGTACCTTGATCACCACCTCTACCATCAAACATACTCCACCTAACACTTCTGTTTATCTGCCAGGGCTGCAAAGTATGGGGACACTGCAGAGGAGTGTGGCGAGGCCTTCTTCCTGTGTGGGAAGTCCCTCCTGGAGCTTGCCAGGTATGACCTTTGCATGGCCTTCCTTCTAAAACTCCATAGAGTGGCGAAGTCACGCCCATCTACTTCTGCCCCATGGGACCTTATGTCTGAAAAATGATGTATTGAAGTCAATGGAGAGAGAAAACGTATCTTTCAGTCCCGTTTCAATTGTGCCATGAATTACACATATGATGTTTGTCAATCTTAAAAAATCATTTCCATGTCAAAAAAGTCACAGTTTGTCTTAAAACTGTTGAAATATAAGACTATGAAAAATACGCAACTAGAAAGACTACAAATCCCAGAGTCGCGTACATTAACGTTACACATTACACTTGTGTTACTCACCAAAACCTTGTAAAGCCGGTCCCGCGTGCTGGCTCTTATGGAACCGACTAACTCCCCTTTTCTGTATGTACAGTTCTCAACATGGCCAGACTTGTAGTGATTCACCTCTTTTAATACTTTTCACTTCATTCTGAAAGAAAGAGGTGAAATGTGACGGCCATCTTGGTGTTGGTGACGTATGCAAGACCAGAGATGTAGTTCATTGAGCGCTTCACACAAAAATGTGTTACTTCACAGTTTTACGACACATTTATATTTTTTTGACTTGCAAAATTATCTTTCAGATTGACAAACATCATATGTGTAATTCGTTGCACAATTCAAAAGATAATCTTTCTCTCTCCATTGACTTCAATACATGATTTTTCCATAATAAGGTCTCATGGAGGTCCACCGGAAAGGGAGGGACTTCGCCACTCTATACTATATTAAGTCATGTTGATGAACATTGATATACATTTGATTATTGTTGCATCACTGTTAAATGTTATGTACTTTGGCGGAACCTTTAGACTTCAGTATAACCCCAGCATTGACAGTTCAAAGGCCAATTGCTCTCTGGCCAACTGTTGAATAAGGTTCTGAGTGACATTTCTGGACTTGACACTTTTTATTTTTTTGGTTAGGATGGAAAACAGTGTGCTTGGTAATGCCCTGGAGGGAGTCCCAGAAGAGGATGAGGAGGAGGATGAGCCGAACAGCTCAAATATCGAGAGTGCCAACAATCTTGATGGTCAGTATTTATTAAAGGGTTGCCAGGTAAAGGGGGCCCTTATCGGAAGTCACCCGAAGTTTAGTCTTGTATTGGTTTGGTTTAATAATGACATGTTTCTTTACGTTTGGTAGTTAAGACTGAGCTGACATGAAAAACCAATAAAATACAATGTTAACTGCCAGTAAAGACAAACGCCATTTAAAAAAAAAAAAAAAAAAGTAGCGTTGGGGTAACAATCTCTCCTTTTCCCCCCTTGAGTTGAAAGCTTTCTGACAAGTGTTTGTCAAAATTGACTGAGCTTGATGGTAAATATCAAATGTAAACTTATTCTTCACATGACATTCGTGTGCAGAAGAAACAAGAGACGACCTACGAAAGCAGGTTTATGATGCAATGGCGGAAAAGGCTGAGCCAGGTGACATCGAATTGGAGTCCGAGGAAGGAAAGGGCACCCCTGAGGTGAAAAAAGAAACCTGTGTGGCGAATGGATCAAGTTCCCCTGTGAATGAGAAGGAAAAGGGTTCAGTTCAAAAAGTGAACGGAGTGGAGAAGAGCCCCGGTGCTCCTGTCGATGGTGTGGCAGAAAGATCCACTGCAGCCAATGGTGTCAAGGATTCAGGAGAGCAGAACGACAAGAAGACCAATGGAAAGCAAGAGGAAGAAGATAACGGTGAATCCAAGCCAGAGGATGAACAGGACGAGGAGGAATCAGAGGGCAGTTGACGTTCTGTTGCAGAGCACTTTTGGTGTGGCAGGGTGGAGCACGATCTTGGTGTTTCATTATATTTAAAACGGGTCACATTAAGGTGTTACAAAAGTTGACGGGGAAACTCACTAGAGCAGTTCTAATGCACTCTTTGGAAAACACTTAAGTATTTGCCTTGAGCTTCAGTCACAACTTGGGGAAAATGGCTTATAGCCCTTTGTAATTATCCTCTTGCTCAACAGATGACGATGATGATGATGAGGCTGGAGAGCAAAATGGACAGGTAAGTTCCCGTTCTTTGTTTTCTCTTTTTAAATGATTGGGAATATTTTTGCTTTGATGTATGCCCTCTTCTTTTCAGGAAGAGGAAGAAGTTGGCAATTTGCAGTTGGCATGGGAAATGCTGGAAGTAGCTAAAGTCATCTACAAAAAGTAAGGGCAACATTGCTGGATGAAGCGAATGAGTAAAAACAATGGCACAACATTTTAAACATGTACTGTACATGAGAGTTCAAGCAGGTCACTTCATACAAAGTCAGACTTTTAGGATGTTATATAATGTGGCAAAGTGGCCTTGCTGTTGATTCAGTTTCTTCACCACCACAGAAAGGAAGGCAAAGAGGACCAGCTGATGGCAGCCCAGACATATCTGAAACTCGGAGAAGTCAGTGCTGAATCGGGTATGTTTCATGTAGCATTTCCAGGATGGACTTGTCACTTTTACTTGTTGGCCTTCCTTTTCCCTCCCCTCAAAGAACATCTTGAATAATACTGCCATGGCTTGTTGAATTTTGGCTTTGCCCTTCA